GATTTGGTGGCAAAAGCAGCCTTCTCTGATTCCAACTCCCTAACACGGTCTGAGGAGTCTGATCCTTCCCCGGCAAGGACCACGACCATCTTGTCCATCTTCACCACCCTGACCATACTGGCAGCAAGGTGTTTCCTTCGGCCTTCTTTGTCAAGCCATTTAATAGTCTCGGCCTCGTTATCACTCACTGTCAGAGGAAACCCCTCGAAGAAATCATTTTCTGCAAAACAAGGAGGTAAGCCGAAGGCCCGGGCAGTGACGGGCTCATCACCAGCCTCTGACCTGCTCTCAGTCTGATTCCTCTTCTTGGTAACCAGCTCAGTGGGTTGCTCGGCATCGGGAGAGCCTGAGGGCCCACTGGATGCATCTCCGCCCGAATTGGCTGGCGGGCCCATCCTCGTGGCTTGTGGTGCCCTCACCAACCTCTTGTTTATCTTCTTGTCTTGGGTTAACTTTAATAACCTCTCTCGTCGTTCAGCCATGTCACCTGCAAAAAGGAGAAAACCCGGGTTAGCTGCAAGCGAGCAAAAACAACAAAAATGGAATAAAACAATAAGAGCAGAAGCGAGAAACCTAGCAGATCTACGGCCTGCCCGTAAGATTGGCACTCAACGAGCGCCTTGGTGTTGATGGAATGCGCCTCGAACGTCGGGTACCCGTCCTCATCAAGAATGTCATCCCCTTCCCTCGTGACCCACCGGGCGGGGAAGAAGCTATCAACAAACTTGCAAAGGACAACATAGGCCCCTCATCCTCGGCACTCATGCTCCCCACGGGTGTATGATAGTGCCTGGTGCCATGATCATAATGACCCGAGCACCAATGGATCGGGAACTTGGAGATACGCCCGACTGCGGGACTACCCTCAGCATCCACGAGGGGCTCCCCGTCCCCGTCGACCACCATAGTTTCCGATTCAAATAAAGAGTCCATGGCAGTTTGGGTGACCGGATGCCACACATACCATTTATCTTTGAAATCCCTTACGAGTCCATGTACATCCTGAACAGCCTCTTCGACTGTTTCAGAGATACCCAATTGTGCTTGCCTCCTCGAGACTGACGTTGCAGATGAAAGACCCTAAAGAAAAGGGGAATCGTCGCCCCAATTCTCAGGAAACGACAGGTCAGCTCGAACGCCCGAAGGAAGGAGATCGCGTTGGGGTGAAGCTGCGAAGGGTCCAGGTTCAGATGGCTAAATATCCCAACTTGAAAATCACTAAAAGGTAGCTTAAGATCGAGATCCCTGAACATGATCTCGTACATAGGGAATGCGTACTCGGTAAACTCCGAGCAGATACGGGCGTCAATCATCAGCCTCATTATTATAAAATTCTTTTGAAAACCTGGCTGAGTGTCGCCATGCTCGACGACAGTATAAGCACGCCGACTATGACGACAGTATGCCAAAGCAATCCCCCGGGGCTCGGCGCCCACCCAGTCTAACGTAGGGTCGTCAATGGTGTCGACTAATGTAACGTTCTCTTCTGTACTTGTTTCCTCGACGTTATTATGCCTTGAGGATTCCGGATTATCGGCCATTTACCTACAAAGCACAGGAAACCGGTGAATTCGACAGCAAATTCGCGTGCTCGCCACAGAGGCGGGAAGAAGTACACAATGATTCAGACTAAAAAGTCCAACACGGACGCCCCAGCTCCGACCATGCATCAGGGACAACACGAGCGTAGCATGAGCGCCCTGGGCGAATCATGAATCACTCGAGCAAGTTCCTGACTTCGCCTACCCGACACTAGGATACCGCGAGGAGACTACCCTACATACTTCCTAAAAGGATGAACATCCCGGCCAGATCATGAATATGCCGACCAAACGCATGAGGGTCTCGAGCAATATCATGAGTTATACGCCTAAAACTATGAATCTCACGGGTAATATCACGAATTATGTGCCTAAACTATGAATAACACAGGCAATATCATGAATTATGTGCCTAAACTATGAATACCACGACCAATATCATGAATTAGGTCCCTAAACTATGAGTATCTCGGGCACAGTCATGAATCTACCGGGCATTACTTCCAAATATGGATTTCTAGTATCAAAAATAGCATCAAAACTACCTACAACAAAGAAAAACAGGAGGAAGGGACACTTACTTGGAAGAAAAGGGGTACGAACAACGGCGGTGGAAGTAATCAACGGCGAATGGTGCGGCGATCTCACAGCATTACGGGAAACAGAGAAAGAGGGAGGAGCGTGAAGAGGAAAAACAAATTATGGGCCCAAGGGTCCTATTTATAGGGATGACGTGGAATGTGAAACGTCACACCAGGGAGACACAAACTTCCCCCGTCCTCGACACCTACTCCCCTAGGCAATGATGACCCTATTTGCTAGGGTGGTGTTACAATTCCCAAGGACTGCGCCACGTACTCGACGGACGCAGCCCGCGTAACCCCGCAAGAAATACCTCGAGCACGCTTCGAAAAACAAAGCCATGGTCCGGGCATCAGGTCCCCGCGGTAAAAGCAAGCTGAGATCAAGTCATAACTCCTGCGCCACGAGTAACAACTTAGGGGGCTCCTGTTCTGGACTGGGCCCACCTTGGCCCAAAGTGCAAATAAAGACCCAGATCCAAGAAGCTCCTCGGGGAATGCTCACAATCAGACCATCATCGACTTGCCCGACCACAAACTACAGCTGCAACGCCCGCTGTTGCCCTCGGCGAGTAGCCTCCCGACCAGGGGACTTCGAGCTCGAGTCCAGCTCGAGCACCCTCCCTGTAGTGCAGATTCTGTCTATTATAACCGTTATGGAATCCTCAAAGCTCTGGAAAGACCGCGTCTTCGTCCTTCCTCATTCTTCACAGAGCACCACCCAGGAAGGGGACCACGTGCGGGTCCTTACTACACACGTAGAACTTGGCAATTCCTTTATTGGGCCAGTTCTGGCCAGCCTAATGAGGGGACCTTGGCCCAGCGCTAGGGGCTATAAATACCCTCTGTTCCAAGAGGGTCAGATATTCACTTATCACACGCCTATATACTTTTTGTCTGCCCATTTCGTCTCTCATTTTGGCATCGGAGTGTCTTGCAGGTACCCCCCATCTCTCTCAAAACCAGTTCGAGCCAGCTGTGACGGTCCAAGTCTGATCCGGTAAGATCAATAATCATTTATCATATTTGAATTTTTTCGTTTATAAAAATAATAATAACTTATCCCCGTTTATAAAAATAATTATTCTAATAGATATACTTTTTTTCGTTTATAAGCGTCTTGAATCGTGTGTCTTTATAAAAAATATTTGAAACTTATTTCCGTTTATAAAAATAATTGTATCAATAGTCAAAATTTTCCGTTTATAAAAATATTTGTAATTTATTCCTGTTTATAAAAATTATTGTAACTTATTTTTGTGTGTAAAAGTAATTATATCATGTTAAAATAATTGTATTAATATTTAGATTTATTAAAATTGTTTATAAAATTATTCTTGTTTATAAAAATAATCTTATAAATTTTTTCAAATATCATTATTTTTTTCATGATTATTATTTATCATTATTTTTTCATGACTACCATTTTTTCATGATTATTATTCATATGTTTTTAAAATGAAAAATATATATGCCAACACCCCCACTTGACATTCATCCACTCTTTCAACAATAAATTTTAGTAATTAATAATAAAATAAGAGAGAGTTGGTTTTTTCAAAATATTTTAAATCCACTCCTCTACTGATAAAATAAAATTAAGTAAATCAAGTATTAAATTTTATATAAGAAAGAGAAAAAAAAATTGTTCTAACTTTTAAGAATATCGAGTAATTATAAATAGGTAAATAAAGAAATAATAATTTAACATTTATTAGTTTTGATATCAATAGATAAATAAAAATCATATCTAAGAATATCGAAAAATCAATTACAATATTAATAATTTAATATATATTTATATTAAAGGTATAACGAATAAAAGAGATAACTTAAAAATATTTATTTCATCGATCTAAATTGACTTTAAAAAAAACCTAAAACTCAACTATCAATATTGAAATAAAATTAAGAAATAAATAATAATTATAGAGAATTATAGAGAATTAATAATAAAATAAAGGAGAATATTGCAAATTTCTCCTCTGCTGATAAAATAAAATTAAGTTGGAAAGAGAAATAAAATAAATCATGTATTAAATTTTATATAGGAAAGAGAAAAACAAAAAAAAATTGTTCTAACTTTTAAGAATATCGAATAATTATAAATAGGTAAATAAAGAAATAATAATTTAACATTTACTATTATTTTAGATATCGACAGATAAATAAAAAATCATATCTAAGAATATCGAAAAATCAATTACAATATTAATAATTTAATATATATTTATATTAACGGTATAATAAATAAAAGAAATAATAAATCAGATCTAAAAATATCGATAAATTAATTACAATATTAATAATTTACTATATATTTATATTAACTGTATAATCAATTAAAAAATAACTTAAAAGTATTTATTTTCAAGATCTAAATTGATCTTAAAAAAAAAACTAAAATTGAAGTAAAATTAAGATATTACAAACCATTAATAGCATAGATAATTGCTAATTCATTTCATCCATATTGCAGATTTAACCGTATGGTAAGATCAATTCCAATTCTAATGAAAAATCCCTACATGTATTATTGAATAGATCTTTCAAATCAGATATAGTTGGATGAATAACATATGAATTCAAATCTTTGATCTAGTTTTATAACTTATAGTTCTATAAGTTATAGATATAATTTGATTCAATATATTATAGTATACCAATTTATATCAGTAGATTATACATATAATTTGATTCAATATATTGTACTGTACAATAATAAAACAACTTAAAGGGGAGATAGAAAGAAGAGAAAAAACATGAAGAAAAAGAAAGAGGATACTCTCACAACTATTGAAACACAACCAAAATAAATATACATTGCTACTGTCATGAGCCTTGAAAGGTAATGATCATGATATTCAAATCAAAGTCTTCAAAATGTTGATAGTGAAAATAAACACACCAGAGCCAGTTTTGAAATAAATAGGCAAAAAAAACCTATGTAGTATATTATCTCCATACATTCAACTATGGCAGCAAGATTAAGACCTTTTCTCTTTTCCCTCTTTTGTGTAGTATTTTGCTCATCAAAACCCTTTCTCTTTTCCCTCTTTTGTGTAGTATTTTGCTCATCAAAACTACCAGGCCTATCATCACCAACAGAGTTATCCTTGTTAATAACTTGTTCATCATTGAATCTTTCATTGTTTGAAAGACTTGTCCTCATGAACCTGCAGAAACATATATATATATATATATATATATATATATATATATATATATATATATATATTACAAACAAAAAGTAGCTGAAATCATTAGAATAAAAGATAAACATAGTAGCTAGCATGTTTAAAACTACAGTAAGCTAGAGGCCTAACTATAGTTAGCATGTTTTAGAATATCCATCAAACTTGTGCATGACGATTGAAAAATTGAAAATAATTCAGAACATTAACAATTTATAAATAAGCAATAGTCCTAACTCTAGAACATGACAGTGTTGATCATCATTCCCAAAGTCTGAACAAAGTTCCTCCTGCACTTGTTGTACTTAGTTATTAAACTTAGCATCTCCTGAATTATTACCAAAAATATATATATAAGAAAAATTTGCTCGAGTACAAAGTATATATTATATCCAAGAATCTTAACTTAACTGAACAATTTGTTCATCTCCTTAGATCAACAGTACCTACAGACCCTGACAAAATGTAAAAGAAAAGATGAAAAGAAGAAGAAAATCATGTTAGAGTTTGACTGTGAAATTACAAAATTGTGTGTGGAATAACCGATTTTATCATGTTCGGCTGTGAAAGAGGGAATAGTATGGTAATTGCAGAGGCACTTGAAATCAGATGGAACCTGATATAATAGACATGTACTGACTCTCAAAATAAATATTGAGAGTCAGGTATTTCTTCAAAGTAAATACTAATAATGAAAAGAATTATATTATATACGTCAGTAAAAATCTGCAATTAATCATAACATAGATAATTGCTAATTAATTTCATCCATATTGCAGATTCAACCATATGAGCGATTCCAAAACAACTTCTCATTAAGTTTAGAAATAGGGAATCTAATTTTACTGAAAAATCTCCACATTATTGTTGAATCAACAGAATTTCTTACCTTACCTTGTCAATTTTACGCTCTTTCACAGTGGATTCAACCAAGATTCCACTATATAGATCTTTCAAATCAGATATATTCTTGTCCATGCTTAATGATGCCAAAAAGGATGAATAACATATAAATTCAAATCTTTGATCTATATCAGTTTAGTAAGTTATACAAATAATTTGATTCAAAAAGGATAAATAACATTTGGTTTCAAATCTTTGATGTATAGCCGATATTGATTTGGCATCAGATTCACCTATTATAAAAAAAACCCAAGTGTTAGAACGTGCAAGACTGGACTTCTTTAATCTATAAATAAAACAAACAAAATTTAAGCACATAGAGTGAGTAAATCATACATGGTAGCTCATGACCAATTGTGATACGCAAAATGAGAAACTTATCTGAGTTTATATGTCGACCTCACAATTATTCTAACAATCATCATTGCACTATTCTTGTTCACCTTCAAGTTTCATACAAAAACCACTATGCTAACTCAACATACCATAAACCATCCTTTCATACTATTTTCTAAGACAACATAAACCACAAATCCACAAATTGTTGATACAAAATTTTAGCAGAAAGGACAACACCTAAAGCAGAACATACACGGAAAAAGTGAAAAAAAGAAAAGAGGAAATTTTCAATGCAGAGTTGCAAACAAATCCGTCATAGCCAGCCTCCATCTGCAACCGCAACACACCCACCAATTCCGATCTCATGCTTCCTGGCTACGGTTGTGCCAGAGATTACTCTCTCAAAGAAACCTCAAATTGAATTGAAGTAAACTAAATAGAGAACAGATAACATAGACAATAAAATTGCTTGACATAAGAGGAAAATTAGGGTTTGCCAATGCTTCATTTCATAGATCAAGTTCATCTGCATGGTTAATTATATGTTGAAGGAGGAATCTGGAGTTTATTGTATCTGTGTTTTTTGCGTCTTTTTGATGAAAAGAAAGAGAGAGGGAGCGATTTATAATTAGAGAGAAGGAGGGATTCGTTTGGAATATAAGAGAGAGAGAGAGAGAGAGAGAGAGGGCTTTACCAGTCAGACTTCAAACTTAAATATGAGAAGTTTTGAAGATGAGAAGTTGTGATTTTCATTGGCATTATTAGGGTTTTTATGAAAGGTACCAAACATAGAAAACGAAAATCTGCAATAATGGTAATCGTATGGGAAGTTGTATGGATTATCATTTGTAAATGGCCTTTCAGTATTTCATGAACGACTATACACGAATATGCACTAATATTCTGATAATGCTTTGAAACTGATAACTCAAATTGGGCCCACACCATTTACTAATTATGTTTGATAATAAAAAATAAAAAACGTAGGAAAAAATGGTGGTATGAAAAGTCAGCCATATTAAATATCAAATGCATGTAAATGCAGCATTAGTGCAATATGCCTTTTTTACCCATGATATTAGATTAGTTTAAACTTTTATTAGTGAGGTTAAACCTGAATTTTCCAAGTACTTTAAAGTTTATATATTTATATTAGATAAACTAAATTCAAAGGATCAACACCTTCCAATTTAAATGAAGAATATAAACTTAAATCAAATTTAATTATTTATTCATTCAATAAGTTACTAATTAATGTATTACAACTTGAAAGATTTATAATAATGTCTTTTTTAAGTTAATAATGTATTTTTAATTGATATAATGTCTTAGTTTTTTTTAGAAGAAGATAAAAGTAACTATTTATTATTCATTTATAATTAAAAAACCAAAGTTAACACAAAAGCCAAAAATTTATAATAATAATAATAATAATAATTAATAAGAGTTTTATTTTAAAGTGAAATGATATTTTGACTGTTAAATTTAAGTATAAAAAATGCATCAATGTCATTTTTAGGTGTAATATATTATTGAAATTTGTGAAATATGAAATGAAAAAGTAAGAGAGATAAGGATATCTACCATATAAAGAGACAAGATGTTCCGAAAAAGACAACAATACATGATCGTACTTGATCAGAATAGATTGTCAAAGCCCATGAGCTTTGAGTTGAGCAGCATCTGAAGGTGAAATGAGAGGTGCCTCCAAGACACTCTGATGTCAAAGTGAGGTTCAGAGCTTAATGCAAGTAAGTGATTATGAGAGTGAATGATTCAATACCTGACTCTCTCAAGTGAGAGGGTATTTATAACCTCCAGCACTGGGTCAAGGTCTCCAACATTGGGCCACGATGAGTCCTAATACTGAAGACTGTTAGGGCTTACGTGTGTATGGAGTTTAACATATAGCCTCCCCCCTGGTCAACTGCCCCGAGGAAGCAGAAGCTATATCTGTTATTCCCGAATGGCAGGATAATGATGGTGATATGGACATGTGGGCTACGTTCCCCAACGGATACGTAGGGAGTTTCCCAACGGTCCTTAACTTGGGTTGCTTGCCTTTGGACCTTTTGCAAAGGTGTTGGATTGGGCCTTCCCAACGGTGGGGTAAGCGTCGGCCCAGTCCAGATTAAGAGCCCCCCAAGTTATTGCCCTTAGGTGAAAGGGTGATGACTTAAGTTAAACTTTACGGTTGGGGAGAATTTGCTCGAGAAGGGAGATCGTAACCCTCTAACGGGGATAAGTTGTTCAAGTGGTACCCGTTAGGAGTACATAAGCTGCGGGGAGCTTCCCCAGGTTCTTTTTCGACTTGCCCGTCTTCAGGGTGTCGCTACGATGTCGAGCGTTATTTCGTCCTCGTGAGCGGTATATGATGAATATGCACGTATGCATGCTTTAGCCATGATATCAAGCATTTCGTCACGTGAGACGTCTTTGTTGTGCTCGTGTATAATGTTTCATGTGGAATTCGGGGATATGTTCGTCTTTTGAAGATGGGCACGTGGTTGCTTGTTGCGCCACGTGGCTGTCATTTTAGGGTGCCATCTTTCCATGGGGAATCTAAAAGGCCCAAACTAATGATGGCCTTTCGTATGTAGCCTAGTGGGGTGTGAGCCATCTATAAAAGGGGGACCTCAGGGTTTCATTTGTCATTCTCAAGCTTTCTACAATCCTCCTTACTCGCGCGTGGATTCTCTCCTCTTAGCTTCTCCTTAGAGTTCATCAAGGCATTCTTATTCAACTAAGTCATATCCTCATAACAACATATTTTCTTTAGAATTTTTAGATTAAACACTTAGTTTTCGTCTTGATTGGAAGAATCTTAGAGGAACATTCATGGGTTATGCGATGAACATCCATGAATGTTCATTGAAGTTCATGGTAGTGGATAAAGTTCATGGTGTCGGGGACAATTTCCCCGGATAGTGGGTTGATCCGGGCAACGTGCATGTTTGAATAAATGTCCCTAAGCTTATTTCAGTGTAGCAGTTGAGGGCTTGGGTCGAAGTCCGTTCCTCGACGAATTCATCTCCCTTTCACTTGATTTGCGGTGGAAGGGTGAATTTGATGATGTCGAATTCACTGTTTTCCCTGCTTTTCAGGTATAATAGCATATTTGGTCGAGGAGGACGTCGTGCTAGCCAGTCATGAAGATGAAACCAATGTCGAGGAGGATCCTTTGGCCTGGGTGGCACCTGAACCTAGGAATAAAAGATCGTGCTTCTCGCACGATGCATCAGACGCGTTCAATTGTCCGGAGGTTCGAGCTGAGGGGGCCCCGCCAACTAGATTCTACAAATCCCTCATCGTAACCGGAGGATATGCTCGTCGTATCTGGGCAAGCACTTCCCTATGTACGAATTTTTTTTCAAGGAGGCGGGGATACATTTTCTCTTTAATAACTTCCAAGTAGGGGTTTTCCAGTGGCTATAACTAGTGCCCTCCCAACTTCATTCGAACGCGCTTACGTTCATGCGAGCGTTCGAGCTTGTCTGTCAATATTACAAATAGGGGCCAAGTTACCCCTCTTCTTTCGTATCTTCCACTTGCAAAGGTAGTCCATGGAGGGGGCAAGCCTGAGTGAGTTTTAAAGAGTTTGGGAAACTCTTCCTGCCTTATCTGGAATTTGTTCGCCATTTCAAAGAGGGGTACTTTTTCGTGAAGCCTCTGACGGATGCAGTCGTAGATTCCCTATATGAGCACTCAAAAGATATGGATATGGAAACATTTCCGCTCGAATGGTAATGGAAACATTTCGAGCAAAAGCCGGAATATTATACAGTAAAACCTGAGGACTTAGATGCGCATGATCAGCTCTCCTATGAGAAGTTGGCGTCTTGTGTTAAGAGTTTCTCCACAACAAGGTGTGTGGGTGTGAATAGCAACCTCTTCTTCAACGATAAAAGGGAGTATCTCCTCGTTAATAGGTTGATCAACATGAAGGCTTTGCTTGAATGTTCTCCAGACGGGGAAGCCATGAGGCTTTTAGGTAGGGGATATGGTTGCAGTCTAATTTTTATGTTTAGATTTTATGCATGGATATGCACGCGATATTGTCTTTGTTTTAGCCCATGACTGACTGTTTCCTTTTGATTGCAGGTTGAATAGCATCCCTTTCTAAGCGTCTATTAAAACTGAGGCCCAAGAATGCTTCTACCTCGGGGCCAAAGAACATGGTCACCAACTCCAGGAGCAGGCCAAATTTGTTGTCCGTGCAAGCGGTTCCCCTTCTTCGTCAAAGACCCAGGTTCCCCCTTCTGAGCCCTTGGCAAAGAGGAAACATGCAGAGGAAACTGAGTGTGTTGTGCCCAAAAGTTATAAGGGGCCCGGGGAAGTCTTCGTGTTGCCTCCCTGTTACCTAAACCATGATATTTTAGAGGGGATAACTCTTTAGGTGTTCACGAGGAAGATAGGGAGGCGATCTTGTCCGAAGATAAGGAAATTCGTTGGAAGAACTTGTCGGAGGACGTGGCCGTTATGATGAGGGTGCTCGAGACGACTGATCCGTTGTCGCGCACGGATCAAAACAAGTGTTTTTATGAAACGGTTTCAAAACTGTAGTATTTAGCGACAAATGGCTCGAATATCATTCTCAAGGATTCTTGAAATATTATTAACTAACTGAAATCGAATTAAAGGGGGGGTTTGGTTCGATTTTAGGCAAATAAGCTGATTATGAAAAGTGATTATAAAATAAGTTGTTTTTGATATGAGTGATTATAACAAACGAATTCACTGCCTCGGTTCGTACCTATCATCGACTGCTAACATTACAATCTCCTAAGCGAAGTTTCTATCCTATTTGATTACATTATCAATTAACAAGCGCGATTGACACTATGAGATACATGTTCCTATGGCCGGATTAAGCATACGGTTAAAAGTGACGCAAATTAACAATTAAGCAAAGTCAATCGTGATTAAAATTTGGGGACATTTATCAATCAAATTAAATCAACAATGTTATATGAAAATCG